AGCTTCTTCATAGATACCGTAAGGCCTCAGGCACACAGGGCATTTTTGCAGCCACTTTTAGGAGCGCCAGGTAGTCTTCAAAACAGCCCTCCATGTTATCCTACAGTTGCAAGAAAAAGTATGTGAACCCTTGGGATTACGTGGAGTTTGCATGAATTGGGCATAAAATGTGCTCTGAACATCATTAAGTCACAACAATAGAAGAACACAGTCTGCTGAACATAATACTACACAAACATTAGATGCTGCCATGGTTTAATTGCACATAACATGTAAACATTCACAGTGCAGGGAGGAAAAAGTATGTGAACCTTTGGACTTAACTGGTTGACCCTCCTTTGGCAGCAATAACCTCAAGCAAACGTTTCCTGTAGTTGCAGATCAGACCTGCACAACGATCTGGAGTAATTTTGGACCACTCCTCTTCACAAAACTGTTTCAGTGTAGCAATATTCTTTGGATGTCTGGTGTGAATCGCTCTCTTAAAGTCATGCCACAGCATTTCAATCGGGTTGAGGTCAGGACTCTGACTGGGCCACTCCAGAAGTGCTAAACTTTCTCCATTTGTAGACAGTCTGTCTTACCGTGGACACATGAACATCAAGGCTTTTGGAGATACTTTTGTAACCCTTTCCAGCTTCATGCAAGTCTCTTGATCGTAGGTCTTCTGAGAGCTCTTTTCTGCGAGGTATGGTTCACATCAGACAGTGCTTCTTGAAACCAGTAAACCCAAAACAGGTGTGTGTTTTTTAAGGGCAGGACAGCTGTCAGCAACACATCCAATATCATCACACTGATTGGAGTCAAGGTTGGCTCACTCCTGGCTCCAATTAGCTCTGGGAGAAGTCATTAAGCTAGGGCCTCACATACTTTTTCCTCCCTGCACTGTGAATGTTTACATGTTATGTGCAATTAAACCATGGCAACATCTAATGTTTGTGTAGTATTATGTTCAGCAGACTGTGTTCTTCTATTGTTGTGACTTAGATGATGTTCAGAGCACATTTTATGCCCAATTCATGCAAAACTCCATATAATCACAAGGGGTTCACATACTTTTTCTTGCAACTGTATGTGTCCATACACACATGGACTTTTAGAAGAATTTAGTAGGAATAGTGTTTACCAGCAAGGAAAAAAACCCCAGGGCCAATGCATCCAGAAGCAGCAGCATTTTGGCAGAAAAAATGCTTGACGCGTGTAAACGCTAGGTGCATTTAGTGCTTGAGCATTAATTAAATTCAATAGCCAGAATAAATTATTATACTGGCCAATGAAATGGATTAACGCCCAAGCACTTGAGGCTTGTAAAAGCATTAGACATTTTGACAAGTGTTAGGCGTTTTTTTTCTGCCAAAACACTGCTGCCAAGAGAAGGAGCATTTTTTTTTTTTTTTCATAAACGTCCTGTGTGCATGAGGCCTTAACCTGAACTGCAGGCATACAGCGGCATCCATAAAAATATATGAGAGCCATTTTACATACAAAAGGATTTGTATTTATGTACATCCTGTTCTGAGATTTACACTGCCCTGCCACACAGCACAACCTTCTTTAACATGACAGGAGACTGCATTTTCCCCGACTGCTGTTAATTAAATATGAAGCAACAGACTGATGAGCTCATTTCTCTGTCTCTCTGCTCTCACCTCCTATCAGCATTTTTCTTGTTAGTACAGGAGCACTGCAGCAGCAATGATAGGCTTCTTGTTTTGGTGGGGTTTTTTTTTTTATACATTTTTTTATGAAATAACACGGAGTTGTGTTTATCAAAAACTGGTTGAACTGGATGGACTTGTTTTCTATACTATGTAAGCTATGGTCAGTATAGATGCAAACTGTGCCAACTGTAATCATCTGATGTGGCTTCTGGTTCAGGATACATAGACTGACATTGGGGCCTACTCAGGCCAGGTGCGGTGGGACTGTGTTGGGCGGCTATTCCAGCGAAGTCCCCCACCACATAAGGCAAAATGTCTCCTTTGTGGCCGGTTCACACCACTGTGTGTTTCGGTGGTGAGGCAGGCAATACTTTTTCCCAGCCTAGTGTAGTGTGAGGCAATCTACTTCCTTGAACCACACAACTCAATTCAACGTCACCATGTGGTATTTCAATAAAGTTGAAAAAAAAAAAAACACAACAATTTGATGCACTTAAATTGGCGCACTGGCACTGCAGTATTCTTGTATTGCAGTGACTGCTGTGAATAGACCGCTACTTCATGTGATCCTTCAAAGTCCGCTGATGTTGATTGATGTCTCTATGATATTCATTAGCAGGCTGAAGAGAACCTGCCGGAACATAAGTCATTCCTATTCTGTCCAATACCTATAGCTTTGCTTTACAACACCCATGTGACAAGGTTGGTAGATAATTTAGACAGCTTCAACACCAACCTGTTAAAATGCTGAAGTAGAATGACAAATCAAGTATACTACCTTTGTCTGTGCTTAAGTGAGAATTACTTTACATCACAATTCTGAACCAGGGTTCCTCCAGAGGTTGCTAGGGGTTCCGAGAACTGTGGCTGATGGACCTCCAATCTGAAGGTGCTCCAATCTGAAGTCTTGGAGTGAATGACTCAATCAGCAGCATGACGCATTCAATCTTTTTAGTGGTCTTTACGTGTGGCATTCTGATCAGCACTAGAAGGTGGACATTCTTCCCACTGACTACCACTGATGGGTGTGGGTTGGACACACATCCCACTGACCACCACTGTAAGGTGAACATTCTTCCCACTGACCACCACTGATGGGTGGGGGTTGGACACACATCCCACTGACCACCACTGTAAAGTGAACATTCTTCTCACTGACCACCACTGATGGGTGTGTGTTGGACACATCCCACTGACCACCACTGTAAGGTGAACATTCTTCCCACTGACCACCACTGTTGGGGGGACAAACTTCCCAGTGGCCACCAATGTAAAGGGCATTTTTTTGCCACTGACCACAAATTCATTGGTTTTTGCAGGGGTTTCCGTGAGACCTGAAAAGTCATCCTTTAGGGTGAAAAAGGTGAAAAGGGCATTTGTCATTAGTGAAAACAAAGTAAAGTAGAAAGTTTAACATACAATGATTTCCAAAGTTCTGTGGGATATTGTTGGAATCAGTCAAAAGTTCATGATCCTAGCTATGCAAACAACATGCATTCTTCTATTGTGTTCTACTACTGGTCACCAGCACTAGAGGAAGCATACCAACAGATGGGATGTCTCACAACTTCCGCAGACTCCAGGGTCATTTTAAAGAGGTACTTATTGGGAACATGGGAATGTGGATAAAAGTGATGTATTATAGACATCATTACAAAGACAGGAAGGTGTAAGAATTTGTGGAAGAGTTCATGGAGAAGACTGGGCAGTGAAATCCAGTAAACAGAAAGCATATCTAAATCCAAGAACAAAAATGTAGTATATTGCAGTTTACTAATCCTTAGATGTGGTGGCTGCGCTCATTTTCCTTTATTCAGGCTCTTTGGATTTTTAGCAGGATCAATGGTACTTTTGTGTACTTGCAGAAAAGATGCTTAACCTGACAAAAGAAAAAACTAATGCAACCATAACCATCTAAGGAAGACTTTATCAACCTTTCCAACACAGAGGAACCCTTGAAATAACTCCTGAGTGTCAGGGAACCCCTGCTAAAAATGACTATTTCTACAATTCATGATACATTAGCATGATGGTCAGTGGTAAAAATGCTCCTTACACTTGTCGCCATTGGGAAGAATTACCCTCTTACAGATAGCTAAAAAGATCAATGGTGCCAGTAGGAACTTATTTGACAGGCAGAAATAGCTCATTGCCCAAGGAACCCCTAGTAACCTCTGGAGGAACCATAGGGTTCCATGGTACCCTGGTTGGGAAACCCTGATCCAAGAACTGGCAAGTCACACAATTGTTGTTGCTGGGTTTAGAAATACTTTAAGCTGTGATGTAGTAAACGTGGACACTTCTAGATCATTTTTAAAACTATGTGCAGTACTTGGTATCAAGGGTGCCATTTTGGTGGTAAGCAATGGAATGATCAACGCAAGAACAGATTAAAGCAGATCTTCAGGCAAGATCCACTAATTCGATGAGAAAAATGTGATTTGATTATATATTCACTGTGCCAAGAATTCCATATTGCAGGACGTCATGTGATTCTCATGCCTACAAGATCTCTGGTAATGCTGATTAGCCCAAATTCCACGAGAAGATGCTGCAGCACAGTGCAGGACCATCTCATGAGATCTGGGCTACTCAGCAATCTGAGATCTCTCCAGAATAAGGGTGACATCACCCTGGTCTAGGCACCAAGAAGGGAAACGAGGAAAAGGTAAGTATAGCATCTAACTCCTGGGACCACAGGTACTGATGAAGGTACACAGCTATCATAAAGTATACTTTTTTTTAATTAGTTATTGCTGGGGGGGATCTTATCCCTCTATAAAGATCTCTCTCAACAAAAAAAAAAAAAAAAAAAATACAGCTTTTGACTGGATTTCCACCTTAACCTCTTAGGACAAGGCTGTATTAAGTTACATCAATATCGCAGTAAAGAGGTTAACGTAGCAGGGATGGACGCCAGATCTCTAGAGCTACACTTTCCTGTCATTATCTAGCCCTTGTGAAATAGCCACACTACACTGCAAAAATGTGATTACATAAGAAGCAATGAGCTCAATGTGTCAGAATAAATCATACACCAACAGAAAGGCTTTAACGGGACACCTACACCTTACTTGACGAGTGTAAAAAACAAAAAACATTTAATGGCAACAGAAAGGTCAATTCTCACCTAGACATTGCCACATTACATAGAAGGCAAGGTTTATTCTTCAGCACATAAATGGAATGCTAGTCAACCCAACCCCATATCCCAACCTTAAATAATGAATGTGTCCACATTTGGTATCTGGATAATAAGTGCAGAGAAAAATTTTGCTTGACAAAATTTGGGGCTCGTATGGGAAAAAGAAGCTCACTTATGACCAGGGGCGGACTGACCATTTGGAAACTTGGGAACTGTCCGAGGACCCGGGGTTAGTAGGGGTCCCATAAGATGCCCCTCGTACCTTTTTCATAGGCTTTTTTGAGTTTGGGCCCCATGATCCCCTATTGCCCCATGAGTTGAAAGCCCACCCCTGCTTATGACTGATTCTGTGAGCTGTGGGTTCAAACTAATCCCTTCACATTAGGGAACTTTCAACAGTTTACCCTTCAAATTCCATATACCCATTAAATCCAAGTTAGGTGGTATCTGATATTTAATTTTGGATTTCTACAGCTCACAGGGATTACAATGAAATGACACCAGTGTACTGGTGATTGTTATCTGAAAAGGAAAGCCCTATTCAACATGAATACTTGGATACTTCTAGATACAGGAGTTGTAATCTAGAGATGTTATCGCAAAACAAACAAAAGATTTCCCAGCAACACTTACCAGCCAGCTTGCGAAACAACCAACTTGGCCCAGTCTAACAGTATGCATTAAAAACAGAGGGATTTGTTTGCACACATTTGCAAATACATGTGTAAGCCACAGTCCCACGTCAAGGGTCCTCTGTATACTGTGGACCCAACTAAAATTTCCAAAGCCTCCATAGTGGGAGCACATGTATAATCTGGATCTGGAGATGTTAGTCAGAATCTCATCCAGCCCCAACTCTTCATTTGAAAATCTGAGTCTGGAGCCAGGGCCTTCTTTTCGCACAGTTTTGGCCCCCTACAAGCTGCTGCTCCAGCCCCCAGAGCCTTTTTTACCGCCCTTCCTGCTCAAGCAGGAAAGAGACCTAGACCTCACGTTCCTATCAGCTCAGTGAGAACAAATCTTATACTTTGCTCATTACTCGTCCATGACGAGCAAATACAAGGAATTGGGCTACCAAGATCTCACACACTGGTACAAAGTACCCTGAGGCTGAGATGCAAAGAGGCAGAGGGCACCATCCTCCATATCTTCTGGTCATATAGACAACTTGAGGGCTTCGGGTCCCGAATTAGGGAGAATACCAAAAAATTTATGGATTTTGATCTAGGTACGAGCCCAGCAAGGTACCTCCTGAAACACAGATCTTATGAAAAATAGGTATAAAAATGTTTGTAGTATTTTAAAAAGAGAACTTCATATCCAGGGGCAGACTAACAACTCATGGGGCCCCCCGGCAATAGGGGATCATGGGGCCCCTGTGTCCTTGCCCAAACTCAGAAAAGCCTATGAAAAAGGTACCAGGAGCATCTCATGGGGCCCCTTACTGACCCCGGGCCCTCGGGCAGTGCCCGAGTTTCCAAATGGTCAGTCCGCCCCTGTTTATATCCCTTTTATCCCAACCATCTCCTACTCTCTGTATGACCCTCCTTTAGCTGGAAGACTGTGCAGGCCGAATACTGAGCAAAAGTCACCTGACATGTTCTATTCCCAGGGCAAACAACTAAATGTCATGTGACTACACACAACTCTATGGCTCACAGAAGTTGTGAATGAAAAGTTTCAAGTGAAAAAAATGTTCTATAAAAAGCAACAATACACAACCCAATTAATATGTCCAGTGATATGGACAACTGGGTGCATTCCGCAAAAGATCAAGTCTAGCGAGAGCGCTCAGTTCGAAATGTTCCACTTTCCGAGCAATTTTCCCTCATTATGAGAACAGAGAGGCATTGAAAATAACTGTGAGAGTTGAGATATGATAGTTCCAGAAGATCAGCAATTAAACAACAGCCTCTGTCATTGCTGTACAAGGTTCTGTGTGTTGTCAGACTCCAGAACAGAAGAAAGACTGTGCACATGAATGAGCTCTCTCAGACTATCAGAGTCAGACCATGGCGCAGTACCTGACTGCTAGGATCTGGATGTCCTTCGTCCTGAATCAGGAAAGAATATTTATTTCAGGTACTTATCTTGCAGCACTTTACATAAATTATACAGTCACATCAGTCCCTAACCCTCAAGGGGTGTACAATCTAAGGTCCCTAACTCACATTCATACATACACATACTAGGGACAATTTAGACAGGATCCAATTAAACTACCAGCATGTCTTTGGAATGTTGGAGGAAACCGGAGTACCTGGAGGAAACCCACGCAGGCACAGCATGCAAACTTCAGGCACGTAGTGTCATGGTTGGGATTCCAACTGACGACCCTAGTTCTTACATCAATATTAAATATAACAATGCAGCACCGCAAAACCAATTTTAATTGAAAGTTTCTGGGAAAGTGGCAACTTTGTCCTACGATGAAATCATTGAGGAATAGTGAGGACCTATCTGAGGTTCATACTGCTGAGCTCAGCCGTGGAGATAGGGGAGCAAGCATACAGGGCTCTGAACAAGGACAGCATTCGGTCCTGTGATGCTGGGGGCGAACGTCCAATGGTTGGTTCATCCTCAGAACAGGACAGAATTGAGCTATGCATAGTATTGGGAGTTTTGGGGCAGGCTCATCTGGCCTACAGGTATGGCAGAAACAATAATGAAGGTTTATGAAGACATATGGTTTATTGTTCTTTACCAGGGCTTCTTGACTGCATCGGATTTTTTTTTTTTTTTTTTTACACAAAGGTGAACTAAGCCTCTAAAGAATACCAGATATGGTATATTTTTAGATCGTTACATTGATCAGGCTTGGACCAATATAACTATATATATTCCATACTTGGCTAATGCTCCCCGGACGTTGGAAATCACAGAAGCAGACACAGCTACTTCAGTGATCTCCACTTGCTTCTTATTCCCATGCCAAGTGGATGGCCTGATGCATTGATCATACATAGTTAGTCTGGCTGAAAAAAGACAAAAGTCCATCCAGTTCAACCATAAAAAAAAAAAAAAAAAAGTTATAATCCTATACCCACAGTTGATCCAGAGGAAGGGAAAAAACCCAGCAAAGCACGATCCAATGTGCTCCTGCAGGGAAAAAAATGTGTTCCTGATCCCCCGAGAGGCAATCGGATATTCCCTGGATCAACTTTACTTATAAATGTTAGTATCCAGTTATATTCTGTGTATCTAAGAAAGAATCCAGGACTTTTTTTTAAAGCAATCCACTGAGCTGGCCACAACCATCTCTTGAGTCTATTCCACATTTTCACAGCTCTCACTGTAAAGAAGACTTTCAGTGTTTGGAGATTAAATTTATTTTCCTCCAGATGTAGAGTGCGCCCTTGTCCTCTGTGATGACATCAGGGTGAATAACTCTACACCGAGTTCACTATATGAACCACTGATGTATTTATACATGGAGATCATATCCCCCCTTGTGCATTATACATGGAGATTATATCCCCCCTTATGTATTATACATGGAGATCATATCCCCCCTTATGTATGTTATACATGGAGATCATATCCCCCCTTATGTATTCTACATGGTGATCATATCCCCCCTTATGTATTCTACATGGTGATCATATCCCCCCTTATGTATTATACATGGAGATCATATCCCCCTTATGTATTATACATGGTGATCATATCCCCCCCTTATGTATTATACATGGAGATCATATCCCCCCCCTTATGTATTATACATGGAGATCATATCCCCCCCCCTATATGTATTATACATGGAGATCATATCCCCCCCCCCTTATGTATTATACATGGAGATCATATCCCCCCTTATGTATTATACATGGAGATCATATCCCCCCTTATGTATTATGTATACATGGAGATCATATCCCCCCTTATGTATTCTACATGGTTGATCATATCCCCCCTTATGTATTCTACATGGTGATCATATCCCCCCTTATGTATTATACATGGTGATCATATCCCCCCTTATGTATTATACATGGTGATCATATCCCCCCTTATGTATTATACATGGAGATCATATCCCCCCTTATGTATTATACATGGAGATCATATCCCCCCCCCTTAATTTCCTCTTCTCAAGAGAGAATAAAATTCATTCCTCTAATCTTTTCCCTCATAGCTGAGCTCCTCCATGCCTCTTAATCAGTTTGGTTGCCCTTCTCTGTACTTTCTCCAGTTCCCCAATGTTCTTTTTTGTGAATTGGTGCCCAAAACTGAACTGCATATTCCAGATGAGGTCTTACTAATGATTTGTACCGGGAAATGATATCTCTCTCTCTCTGGAGTCTTACATAAAATACATATGCATTGGTCCTACATGAACATAGATCAGCTGCTGAGCGCAGCCAATCAGAGAATGCTTTGCATTTTAACAAATGACACTTCAAGAAGCACACCCAACCTCACCCTTGGTTTCAAGTCACTGTAGTGTGCCATTGGTTGATGCACGTCACTAGGGGGGCAGCTGGCTCTACCCTGGTTATCAGCCTGCCCCTGATGATGCACCGTGCAGCATGATCATCAGCAAGAACCCAGGACTGTAACCTCCTGATGACATAGCTAAAGAAGATGGTGGTACAGGACCTGGCTTATGGCAGATGATTGGCAGACTATAACAGGACAATGCTGGATCCACTGACCTGTGAGAATGTACTCTGAGGATACCCCCCAATAAAGGTAAAAGAGGATTTTTAAAAAAATGCACTTTTTGGGTGAAGGTATTTTTTTAAAGCAGTAAGGGATCCAATCAAAAACAATAGAGCCCATTCTGACTTTCTTTTTTTATGTGCAATGATGAGAATATTGACTTTATGGAATATGTACAGACTCCCTATGCTGTACATATCTCCATTATCTGCTATAGATAAGAAGAAGAAGAAGAGCAGCAGTGATGAATTAAAGGCTTCCCCTTGTGAACTTTTACCCTTACCAGTAACAAGACACCCCTCGCCTCATATCCAGCATGTTAACTTGTCTTCTGAAAACCTCCTGACCTCGCATATTTGGAGCATACTGCAATAGAGCTTCCTGACTGTATTAGATTTATTGTCAATGGCCTCTGGAGACACACATAATATGTTCTTATAAGAGTCTGCTCCATGCAGCTGTCCTGAGCCCACAGATACCAGACCCCAGCATGACGGGATACATATATGATTCTACACACAACAGGACAGACACCCCATATGCTCTTCTGCCTTGGATTTTCGTTCAGCAGACCGCACACTGAGCTGCCTAACTTTGCCCAGATGTTAGTAAGGAGGACAAAAAGAGGAAAGGTGAAATAGGTTACTAAAGGGA